GATCCCCTCCCTGCCCTGTGCCCACAGGATATAGACAATAAAACCTGAAAGGTTTTGCCTTTACCTGAGCAGAGTTTAACATTTAAACATTTTTTCAGCTTATTCCCATCAGTATCCAGCTTTGATGTTCCCAGTGACATTCCCATTTTCTTATTAAAATGAAGTCCAGAACTCTTTAGAGCCAAGTTTTTCTTCCCCACAGTGGGCTCAGCTGCTGGGTGTGCATTCAGCTCTGGTAGCTCAGTCATTTGGTTTTGGAGGGGTGCTAGGGTTTGATCTTGTACAGAAAGCCAGAGGTGAAATCACTTCATACCTCAGGGAGATCTGGTTTGTGTTGTGCCCCAGTGAGTTGTTTGGATGTTCAAGATCATGTTCTCTGCTCCAGGTTTCACAGCCTAGTTCTGTTGCTGTTTGCTTGAGCAGAATTGGGACTTGGAGTTCTTGTCTTTGCCTGTGCTTACTAAGAGGAGTTTTGGCCCAGGGGTGGGGATTTGTTTTGTTGACTGTTAGTTGTCTAAAAATGACACATCTAAGCTTCTTTCCAGCCCCTTTGGTTCCCTCTCTTGGGCACCCATTGACTGATTCCCCAGAATTATAAGGTGAGTTCAGTGTGGCCACACATCTAAAAGTTGGGATTCATTGAGGTTCAGCTCAACTCCACTGGGCACATCAGGTGATAAAATGCAAGCAGTGGTGGGGGATAGAAGCCAAACTTTCTTACCAAAAATATCTGTAACTAAAACTTGATCCTGCAGTAGCATCTGCTGGGGAAGGGTCTAGAGGCCAAGTGTGGGGAGGAGCAGCTGAGGGAGCTGGGGGTGCTGAGCCTGGAGCAAAGGAGGCTCAGGGGAGACCAGGAAAGGCTCTTTGATGCCTTTGGGCAGCACAGGTTCAGGAAGCAATTCAGAGCTTCACACTCAGCAGCTTATTCACCCAGTAACATGGAGTAAAATCCTTTCTCTGCATGAAAGTAAAGCCAGAGAAGAAAGCTGAAGTGCTGCCAGCACCAAGACCTTGCTCAGCAGTTTGCTTTCCTGTTTGTGCTGTTTTCTTTGGATCCCCTTCTAGCAGCTCCTACATTTCAACAGCACCTTTCTTCTCCAGTCAAACCCCTCCTTCCATTTGGGGCCAGGGAAGGCTTTCATGGACAGCTTTCTTTTCCTTTCTGGCTTCAGGGGCAAACGTGAATGCTGCTAAACTTCATGAGACAGCCCTGCACCATGCAGCCAAGGTGAAGAACGTGGACCTGGTGGAGATGCTGATTGAATTTGGGGGGAACATTTATGCAAGGGACAACCGAGGGAAGAAGCCGTCGGATTACACCTGGAGCAGCAGCCCCACAGCCAAGTGCTTGGAGTACTATGAGAGTAAGTGAGGGCTGGTCCCCTGCCCCAGGAGCTCAGTGAGTTCCACTGCACCACATCATGATTCTCAGGCCAGTTTGATCTGTGGAACTCTTGCCATCTGCCTGTGAAGGTGTGGAGTCCATGGGGGCAGTTCTACAGCAGCTGGCCCCAGCCTAGCTCTGCTTCCTGGAGGTGATGAGATGGGGGCTGTGATCAGCAGGCTGGCTGTGGGCTGCAGCCTAGGGGCTGTCTGGAAGGGGATTGAGGAGTTCTTCTGGAGCTCTCCACAGAGTGCTGGGTGAGAAGGTTTGTCACAGGGTTGAGGTGGAGAAACAGAGCTGTAGAGAAGTGTTGGGAGTAGGTTTGGTTCCTATATACAGTGTTCTGAGGCTCAGTACAGTGATGGAGAGCAGCCCTAGGGAGGAGGCCCTGGGGGTGCTGGGGGAGAGGAGCTGGGCAGGAGCCCCCCAGCCTGGGCTGCCCCCCCAGCAGCGTGGGCAGCAGGGCAGGGAGGGGATCCTGCCCCTCTGCCAGCTCTGGGAGACCCC